CCAGGATAGAGGTCTTGCACAAGGGCCTTTCAAAAAAAAAAAAAAAAGTGTGAGTATGTCCTCAACCAGGGCTGTTCAGTAGATCACGGGATATGCCCTGCCTCCCTGGCAGGGGAATCTAAGAAAAATGAAAAAAAAAAACAAAATCAGAAAAAATAGACATCCAGAATCTAGCTGAAATACTAGTTAGAAGCATTCCACCAAGAACAGACATGACCACGGCCGATGTTTTTTTTTTTTTTTTTTTTTTTTAAACAACCTGATTAGCTGCTAGGGGTGCTGATAAGAGCAGACACTTCTAGCACCGTCGGGGAGGCTCCATCTATTGGTGGGGACACTGGGGAGCATCACCTGCTGGAAAACGGGTCCAGCATCCCTGTAGAGTACAATATAAGAAACAAGAGCTATGAAACGAAAGCAATGCAAGTATGAATTGTCAGTATGGGCCTGGAGACCAAGGGCCCATCCCTCCTTCAGATCTGTTCTAAATGTAGACTTCAGCGACCTGTCGCTCATAGTGATATTATTATGACCCAGTATTGATATTGTAACCTAATGACTATCGAAGGGTTGTGTCCGTGGTGTCGTCCTTGGTCCAGGAGCTGAGGGCGGCGCGAATTCAAATTTACGCGGCGAAAAAAAAAAAAAAGGCTACGAAAACGGCGCGCAGTCCCGGATTCGAATTTCGAAATTCGAATCCCCGTAAGCGAATGATGGCGGCGCGGGTGTCCCTCACGGCTGACGGCAGCAACGTTCGTCGGCGGGACCGTTTGGGTACGGGGTGGTGGCTGCGTGGCTTCTGATGGCACGCCGAACGTCCATGAATACGTCCGAAGCAGCACGGCCGCCGTCACACGATCGCCAACGTTGTGTGCTTCGCTACGTGCACCTTTGCCGTCGACGTGCACGCCGTACAGTCGGGTTGTCACGACGCGCCATCGCTGTTGTTCCCACCGAAGTCGAGCCTTCTTCACTTGGCGAGGACGAGCAATGGACGTGGACGTGGACGCGGTTCATGACACGCTCAGCAAGGCGGAGAGGGCGGCTGTGGCAGCAACCGTGAACATGATACTCATCAGGTGTCAATTGCAGAGGACCGAGGGGAGGATAAGAGCAGCCATTCGCGCACGCTGGAAGAAGACGCTGCAGTCCATTCATGTGGACGAAGAGGGCAGTGGTGCCATTTGGGACGATGTCCTTCAGGTGTGCTATGCCATGGGGTGTGGAGCGTTTCCCAGAGCGACGCCCAGGTGGTGGATGAAGCGTCGAACAGGGGGGGTGTGGGAGGATCTGCGGCAATGCGATGACGCGACGGAAGACTACTTCAAGGACAAGCTGCGCATGTCGCCACGGGTGTTCCGGGAGATAGCGGAAGCTCTGTCTCCCTTCCTTCAACGGTGTGTCACGTTCTATAGGGAGCCCCTCCAGCCTGACCTCATCGTAGCGTTCGCTTTGTACAAATGGGCGTCGGGGGAGACGTACGAGAGCGGGACGTGCAGCTTCGACATTGGCAGAAAGTCTGGGTTGGTGGCTGTGCGGGATGTTACTTCGGCGTTGCTGAGTGCGTACCGCGACAAGATATCGTGGCCAACGGGGCTGCAAAAGGCGGTCGTTTTGCGCGCTTTCGCTGACAAGGGTTTCCCCAACTGCCATGGCTGCATCGATTGTACCCACATCTTCATCGACAAGCCAGCCAATTGCCCCGAAGAGGACTACTATGACAGAAAACATCGTTTTTCCGTCCAGGCTCAGGTGGTCGTCGCTCTGAACTTGCGCTTGCTGGATGTGTTCGTCGGATACCCGGGGAACTGCCACGACGTGAGGATCGTCCACCTGTCCAGTTTGTGGGCGCGTGCGGAGGCAGGGGAGCTTTTCACTGGGCCACCTGTCATGCTGCCTTTCGGTGTGCGAACGAACGGGTATCTATTGGGCGACAACGGTTACCCCCCCTCGGAATGGGTAGTCGTCCCCTACGGCGGTGTATCACAACACCCGTCGGAGATTCGGTTTGACAACAAGCAGAAGACGGCGAGGGGAGCAGTCGAGAGGGCTTTCGGTAGATTGAAGGGGATGTGGAGGTTGTTCCTTCGCTCCCACAAGACAAACATGGAGACGTTGCTGCAACAATTCGGCGCAGTCTGCATTCTGCACAACATACTCATCGACGCGGGCATCCCGTTCGACGACAATCTGCTGTGGGAGGTCGGGCCGGACGGTGCTCGTCGCAGGGTGGACCTTTGGATGCACCGCCTGTTGAGGCAGATGTGTATGGAGTCGTCGAT